CTAGATCCGCTCCTGACTATACCATTTGCTCAAGCTACATGTAGGTAATAAACTCTTCTAGAATGTTAATGCATTCTCAAGTACCAAACCAAACTATAATAAAATGTTTGATGTGACGCCAAAAAAAAAAGGTTGGTTTTACCTATTGAAGACAGTGCGACATGCGCAATTTGACACGGATTGTCTTCTCGCGCGCTAGATAAGTAGGGTCAGGTAGGGATCGGTGACTCGGGCGGGTACATTGACTCACGCTTATATTTCGTAATAGGCTAGCTATATCTATCTGTATTCTTAACATAATGGTAGCTCTTGACAACCAAACACATACAAACCAATCATCCGTCCACTCCAGTGCGGTTTGATTGTGAAAAAAATGTGCGATTGGTTTTGCACGTCTAAAAATGCTTTTAATGATACCCCACATGTATTTTTATTGATTAAGATTGAAAGATTTAGGGAAATGTAATTATTATGATCGAAAGTGGTATTCATATACTAAGTAATAAGCTAGATTTGCTAGCTCTTAGAGTAGTCTGGTAATATTTGTAGGCTAATTATTTCAAAATGGCGTCGGCGTCTACACTGGCTCAAATTTAAGTGGTACACAGTGACTCTAACATTTAGTACTGGCTCATCTCTCTATTTTTAGAAACATTGACCGACAATTGTAAAATATTTCTTATGGCAATAGTAATGATGTGAAAAGACTACTTTGACAAATATAATTGATTAAAATGCATAATTTCAATAAATATTATACTTGCACGACTGGGTTGCCAAGTCCATATAAACTGTTAGAGTCACAGTGTTTCAGTCAGGGGTTCAGTCAGTGTAGACAGGTACTAGTACACAGTGACTCACATTTTTTTTTTCCAGAAAAAAATGTCTTGTGACCTAAGTGTCGTGTTATTGCAAAAAATTATAAAGCGAAACGAAAGATTAATAATCAATGCATCCTAGATATGAATTTCAGTTTGATACTTCAAAGTTTTCTATAAAATTTTAGTGATTGAAGAAATCCGAGTCACTGTAGCCTACCTGACCCTAAGGCTTTCTCTTGTTTTTGCGTATGAAGTGTTTAAATGAGCTGAATAGTTTAAATGCGACGGATGAATGATGATAAAATATCCATATTATGATTAAAAGTCCGAAATTTTGTAGGTATATGTGTCGTTTTAACGCAGTTAAGTTACGCAGCATCGTCACGTCCAAAATTTCTCAGTGTCTCAAGACGAAAGTGTTAGAACAGTGTGTCATGCCAGTGATGACCTACTGTGCCGAGACGTGGTCTCTATCTGTCGGCCTCCTAAATAGACTAGGAGTTACTCAGTGAGCTATGGAGAGAGCTATGCTCGGTCTCGGTGTTTCCCTACGTGATCGAATCAGAATCGAGGAGATCCGTAGACGAACCAAGGTAACCGACATAGCTAAGTGAGTCAGTAACTGAAGTGGCAATGGGCAGGCCACATTGCTCGAAGGACTGATAATCGGTGGAGCAGGAGAGTTCTCGAGTGGAGATCACGTACCGGCAGGCGCAGCGTAGGACGGCCCCCCGCGAGATGGACAGACGATCTGGTCAAGTCCGCGGGGAAATGCTGGATGCAGACCGTTTTTAATCGGACAAGGTGAAAATACACTTCCCATCAGAAAAATCGAAACACCTCGGTTTTTCTTGTTTTTGGCCGAATTAAACAACAAAAAGTATTGTTTGCATTAAAAAAATTATATGACTGTGTAGCTGGCAGTTTTGTCTTTTCAGTGTGTATAAAAAAAATCAAAATTCAAAATTGGAACCCCACCTGTTTGTTCTGTAAATGAGATGACTGACTGAGACACGTTTGCAGTTTGCGCCTTTTAACGATTCATAACATTTTCAACATTAAAATTTTGAGCTTGTCTTATCTTATCTTAAAAGTTTTGTTTTTTTAATTGTTTACTGTGACTTTGGATCGCCTGAAAAAAGTTAGATTTTATCTGAATCATGGGTATTTTGCCCGTAGAAGCCGCCCAAGTGGTGACATTGCCAAATTTTGGACTTGGTCATCGTTTTGTGGCTGAATGTTTGCATTTAAGCCTCACCTCTATTCATAAAGCTTACAAACGCTATCAGAAGACTGGTCTGTTTACGCGACGTTCAGAATCTGTCGGAAATCGGGTCAGTTCTGACCGACATGATCGAATTAATGTTATGAGCTCTTTGGTAAATCGACACTTTAGCGCTTTTCAGCTGCGGCAAAAGCTATCAAATGTACAAAAGGTGTCTGAAAGTGGCTCTACAATCAGAAGAAGATTACAGGAACGTAGAATGGTACCGCAAAAGCCATAAAACGAGTCCAAATCAACTGCAGACAATTAAATAGCGCGCATTAACTTTGCAAGTGAGCACTTAAATTGATCGTATACCCAGTGGATCAAATTCCTCTTTTCTGCTGAGTGTAGAATTACGCTGAATGGTGACCACGGAAGCACTATGGTTTACAGAAGGGATTAAAAATGCTTTACACAATGCTGCATTGATAAAAAGGTCAGGTTATGGTGACAGTTCGTGAACGGTTTGGGAAGGAATCAGCGCCGACGGCATTACAGATTTTGTCTTCGTGTCTGCAGTTGATTTGGGCCCGTTTCCTGGCTAATGCGGTACCAGTCTACGTTCTTTTAACCTTCTTTTGATTGTAGGGCCACTTTCAGACACCTTTTGTACATTTGATAGCTTTTGCCGCAACTGAAAAGTGCTAAGGCTTCGATTTTGCAAAGAGCTCATAACATTAATTCGATCATGTCGGTCAGAACTGACCCGATTTCCGACAGATTCTGAACGTCGCGTAAACAGACCAGTCTTCTGATAGCGTTTGTAAGCTTTATGAACAGAGATGAGGCTTAAATGCAAACATTCAGCCACAAAACGATGACCAAGTCCAAAATTTGGCAATGTCACCACTTGGGCGGCTTCTACGGGCAAAATACCAATGATTCAGATAAAATCTAACTTTTTTCAGGCGATCCAAAGTCACAGTAAACAATTAAAAAAACAAAAGTTTTAAGATAAGATAAGACAGCTCAAAATTTTAATGTTGAAAATGTTATGAATCGTTAAAAGGCGCAAACTGCAAACGTGTCTCAGTCAGTCATCTCATTTACAGAACAAACAGGTGGGGTTCCAATTTTGAATTTTGAATTTTTTTATACACACTGAAAAGACAAAACTGCCAGCTACACAGTCATATATTTTTTTTAATGCAAACAATACTTTTTGGTGTTTAATTCGGCCAAAAACAAGAAAAACCGAGGTGTTTCGATTTTTCTGATGGGAAGTGTATTTAGGGGAGGCCTATGTTCAGCAGTGGACGTTCTATGGCTGATATGATGATGATGATGGATGATGTATGGTTGTTACTTCTCCAAGCGTTTACTACTTCACGGTTTAAGCTTGGTAGGAGGTACATAATAGATAAACTACTTTCTACCGCGGGAAAACCGTAAAACAGCTACGTGTGAAACCGCAGTACAGAAATTGATTCGTGTAGGTACTCCATATTACTAACAACTCAATATGTAATCCACCTGTATTATTCCAGGAGAAACTAATATTAGAATCCCGGGAAACGTTACCGGATAACTAATATACAAGGACACCGAAGGTATCCAATACAAACAGATAGATAGAAGTAACTACGTAGGTACCTACCTATACTATAGTGATACCTACATGGCTACTATGCCAAGATCTGCATTCTGCATGAAGGTAGGAGAATTGCTTGTGGGAATACATTAGTAAATTGCCTACTTAGGTACTTATATATGCCCACTGACAACCTTGAGATCATAAATTATGAAAAGCTTTAATAACAAAAACCACAGCTTTTAGACCAAAAAATATATATCCTTCATAAGTAGATAGATAGATAAAACGTTTATTCATATTTCTTCATCATACACATTTACATTTTGCAGGAACAGAATACATTTTAAAACCAATATTTATTACAATTAAATTAAAACAATAATTTATCCTACAAAATTATGCACATGTATGCTGCAGTCATGTGAAAGGGCTCAAGCTCAGTGTATTTTAGCCAGGAGGCAGCACTGGTTTTCAGTCGTCGCCCGTAAGTAATGTAAAGCAGATATGTATGTCTCAGATAGAATAAGACGTTCAGAAACCACCCCGGGCTCTACACTTATAAATATTAACGCGAAATCGTGTCAGCGTTACAACCTTTACAAAAACGTGTATCACCATACCTTTATGTATCACATCACCCTACCCGAGCAACGTTATCTACCAGTAGTGCTTATGCTTTATCTTGAATTGAGAAGATGTCGATTTTTATCGCAAAATACAACTTTGAAATTACCATAGGCGGGTTTTTTAATAAATCTGCTTCTTCATTACATGAGTGTAAGTAAGTAGGTACCTACTTAAAAAAGAAGGTGCCTCTGCCTAGAAAACTTTGTAGGCGTGATCGATTAGTCAAAGAAAGTGAACAACTTTACAAACCGTAAAAGCGATTTTTGGGAGGGGAGTATGCATATTGTATGGTGAGTTGATGTGCGATAGCTGGATTATTTGAATAACCAGGTTTTCGCCCACATTAGAAAGAAAGCCAGGATCAGTTTATACTGGTCTACCTTACAATTACAAAGAATAACCATTACAAGTTGATCCTAAGACCTACCTTTTTGAAATGGGCCATTGAACACGACACGTAATATTAGAACCTGTAATAGAGATCGCCTTTGTGTAACTTTTCCACCATATTGGATCACGTGGACAAATCTGAAGGTATTTCATTGGGACCCTTTCACGCGTTGCTGCTTTGTGCCGAGTGGGTATCCAAAGAGCATTGAATTTGACAAGTTGAGCGAATGATCCGGAACATGTATGGGGCTGAAATTAAAATGTAATAGCCTACCTACACCGTACGGTCTTTCCTTTTTCTAAGAAGGGAAATTCATAATCTACGTACTCATAATGAAAATAAGAAATCGAAATAATGTCAGGCGTCGACTGGGAATCGAACCCGGGGCCGATGTGGGTGGGGTACCGTCCCACTGTTCTGCCACTGAGCTATCAACGCACCAGTTGACCCCTGCCCTGCCTTTTTTTTTTCATTCTTTTGTTACTCGTCTCGAAGCGACGATCATCCCTATACTACACCAATCCTTAACATTACGAGAATTTGTGACTGTTTGCGTGTGTAGCTCAAATACCTAGCTATTATGTAAGTAGGTATGTTTGTTACCTCTTCACACTCAAAAGACTTGGTAGATTGGGATAAACTTTGAACACAGATTGCGTATTTATTAGGAATGGATATCCATGCTCGTGGGCTACATTTTACCATACCTACCAGTTTTCTTGTAAAGTACTAAAATATAGTATGATCTGATTCATAGAAGAAAGGGACCCGAAATGGCAAACATTTTTGTTGAAATCCTGCTCAAATGTAATGTAATATGAAAAAGATGCAAACAATAATGTTGCCATTTCGGGTCCCTTTTCTCCTATGAATCAGTTTATAACGTAAGATCTAGTTACCTTCTTTTTAAATTCCACGGGTATACCTACTCGTAGCTGTTGGTACCTCTTTGAATAATTAAATTAACATTATGTCAGTCTCAAAATAGATGTAACTAATAATGAGGTCTATTTTACAATGTGATCCCCGATCAATGCATGTAATTTTTTCTATTTCTTATTTTTATTTGTGAGAATAATATGGTAGATACTGTGAGTGTCCCAATAGAGGTCTGTTACGTTATTAACGCCACGTTTTTATTGTTAGTTTTAATTCAACAAATTGATGGGGTAATCGACTGTTAAAACGTAACGAAAACATAAAATTTAACTGCAGGTGCTAACTGCCATTGAGTGATAAACTACGTAATAAAATAAAACACAAAAATAAGTTCACGACGTGATTAACCTTGGTTCGATTTGTGATGTGGTTTCATTATTTGTTATTGAGATAAATGGGAAATCCGGGATAGAGTAGCTGTACAGTTTTCAAGCTTTGTTTAGTTGTAAAAATAGTTTATCCTACGCCCGATTCGAGGTATTTTGTTTCGAAGCCGGTAACTGTATATGGAATTTTTTAAGTCGGTATAGGTTAGGGTATAGGTTCCCATCTGTCATATATTTTTGACATAGTGAAATAAAATGACAAGAGCAGTGTAACTTGGCCTGTCGTTTAGGCTGGTTATGTCATGACACTTTGTTTTTGAAGCAATGTTAGAGAAATGTATCGATATTTTTAGCTGTATAAATCATAGACTTGTATAAATGGTGCTTTAAATGCGTGCCATACTTTAAGGCTAGGCTCGGTATTGATACAGGAATCCCTAAAATTATTTTTCAGAGCCCTAGTCACTTTCTTTAGCAAACTTATTACTCTACTATATAGGCAAGGCTTTAATACATACAATTTAGTTAACGTACAAATCCCTAACCCATTCAACACATATCGCTACGTTTCACCGGCACGCACATAATTACAGAATCAACAATAACTTAATAGATACGCCAGCTTGAGTTTAATTTAACTGTAGCGGCAATTTGTAACCACAGATTAGCAATTGCTAAAGACTGTGATACAGATTTATGGTCAATTTTACAGTCTGTTACATCACTAGACTATTTTTCGTCATCATTACATACCTACATAAAAAAAAATTACATAATATTAGATACATAAAGTCGGAAAATATCGATAGATGTCCAAGGACCACGGTAGCAGTTCAGCGTGCTGTGTTGGAGGGTCAGTTTCATAATTTTTTTTCGAAAAATATTAGAAGATTAAACAATCTTATTTTAATCTTCTAATATTTTTCGTAACATGTAAGAACACGCTACGAACGCTGTAGAACTTTTTCTAATACCAAAATAAGAGGCAAAAAAGCACAGCTTTGACTATGACTACGAAATCCATGTATTTCTTGACTTGACTGACGCGGACTCTACAAGTAACCCATCTGTGTCTGAGGTCTAATCCTATCAAGGTTGGAGGCCGAGAGCACCTCAACTTGGCAAATTAGTAAATGAGGAAAGTTGCCTGACTCAGGTCAGGTCAGGTGATTCACTATCTGTTCGTGTTCATAATAACTATGCATTGTTACTGAAGGTTCGTTAAAGTTCTCAGAAGTCGATGCCAACCTACCTATAAGAAACCTATAACATTCGTACTGAGATGGTAATACAGGGTGTGTATTTTAAATGCGTGCCTTAGCTAAAGGGTAGGTTGAGTATCGACAAAGAAACCCCTTACCATATTTAAAAATACTAGTAGAAAAGCCGGTTTGCTCGTTTGCGCGCGCGCTCGTTCGAGCATGAGTAGGTATGTACGCTGCACGTGCGTTGCAGTGTGTGGGCAAGTCTATTCGCACGGTGGATCTATTACCTACAGTAATAAAAAAAAATATTCGGGCTAGAATATTTTTCAATATTTTTTACGGGTTCCTTTATCGGTAGGTACTAAACCTACCCTAAGCTATGGCATGGCGCGCATTTCAATTACAATTAACCCTGTATACCTACTTACCTACTAATAGGTACGTGGAATTTATTGTCAACAAGGTGGGAATCCTTACCATAGTGCTTTACATAAATACCCAAGTGAATGGGTATACTTTTCTGTGAATATAACATTAAGTACTTAGATAAGCAGCACATATAATATTTAAAATATATTTTTGGAAACTGTTAAGCTAGTTGTTCATCCTTGAAAGGTGTGATGCTGATAGTACTTACTTACTACTTATCCGCAAGTAAGAGAGTCTTACTTAGATTGTATTTTCACCAATTATGTAAACTTCTATACTTGAAATGTAGTACATTTCAATTAGAACAGGGAGCTTAACATGTACCTATTTGAATCTCATTTCGTAGCCCGTTTTGATAATTCCGCTCGTAGGAGAGGTCTACGAATTGTCTACGAATCAATAAATGGATAGTAAGTAGCATGCACTAAAATAAAATCTTTGAACATGACTTCATCGTAGTTCTTAGATGCAAGAGAAACTATGAATCAACTGCTTTAAAAGAGATTTTATAAAGTCTTTTGTTTTTGAATCAAACATCCTTTCTGTCATTTTGATAGATACGAGTAGGTACACGATTATGTTTTAGGTATTAACTTATTTGACACCTTGTAACTTTATACCGAGAGTAACGGAAAGGATATGACAAGCCGAAAGAAGGTCAAGGTACTCATGAAACTGAACAACTTTCCCCATGGAACATGGGTCTAAATATGAAAAAAAAGTTGGACCTCCCATAGTAAATCAATCAGCTGATCGGCGATTTTATATGGGAGGCCCAAATTTTCTTTTCATATTTCGACCCATGTTCGGCTTGTTATACTCTTTCTGTTACTCTCTGTGTAGAATTTTACTGTAAGTAAGTTGAATAAATAAGTCTCAGCTGTTATTTCCGTTCACGTAGTTCGCGTTTGGTTGCCGAAAAAGCTACCTTATGTCAAACGTATGAAAGCAGGTCCTATAGCTAACTCAAGACCCCGAGAAACACCACCAAAACGATGGGTGGGGTGGATGACATCCGACAACATACAGGCCACGACTGGATGCCCAGATCGCCAGGAGTGGAGAAAATTGGAGGAGGCCTACGTCCTAAAATGGGCAACAAAAAGGCCGTGATGATGATGGAAGCTCTGAGTAACGGGAGCTTTTCCGTAAGCGCAGCTCGGTGGTACCGGTGATACAGAAGGTTCACTCGACTCTATTTAAGATTTTCAAGATTGACACTTTTTACTTAGCCAGGGTTGAAACTGTCAAAAATTTCAAAGTAGTTATACCTACTTTAAGGCAGCAAAATCTGATACAAGAACGTCATAATGTTTCTGAGCCAATTTTGTTCCAAGCAATATGACGTTCGTGGCAACTATATTCTTAGTTACCTACCTTGATTCCAGTTAAAGTCAGTTAGCGTCAAAATGACTTAGTACTTACTGAGTGAGCTATCTGTAAAGGTGCCCCGCGCGCTGTCTCTTTAATTTGTGGTGGTACCTACCAGAGCTTCATAATCCGGCATGTAGAGAACCTACGCCATTTTGGTTTTAAGACAAATTAGTGTTCAAATTGCATTGTCAAGAGTAAAAGATAGTGGATTTGGGAAACAAAGAGCGTCAATTTTCCTATTTTTAGTTTAAAATTTACCTTAGGCACTTGGTAGGGTACAGCTCGGCAAGTACAAAGCTTTCTTTAAACTTAAGTACATACTTACATATATCACACCTATATGCGGGTTAAAATCAGGTTTTTAATAAAAAGACACACAATAGAAACTAGACACCAAAGGAATACTGTAACTGAAAAGATCAACTGATAGTTTAAAGAAGTAGATTCTTTTTTCTATTCAGTAAATTTCTTCCAGAAAAAGCTTACCGGACTATTCAAGAATATTCTATCTTATTTATAGAATCGGAATAAAACTCCCTCGACTAGACCAGACAACTTCAAGTTTTGCACGACTTATGGCTTCTTTTTTAACACCTTCACACCCCAGGATCACAAATTACTAAGTATTATTGGTGGGCTACCGCGCGGCGCGCGCCCAAGAAAATTATCTTTGATATATAAAAAGATATCTTTGAGAATCTCGGACCCGTAGGGTACTTATAAACAGGTTTTAGTTCAGTTCACATTAACCGTGTTATTACAAAAAAAATTATACATGGTTTAAGTCGCTTGACAACGTCAAATCGTAAGTATGTAAAATTTATTTGAACACTGTCTAAACGCGCACCTAACTTTTTGTAATAACACGGTTGATCTTTACAGAGATGGTAGGTACTTTAATATACTAGGTAGTAGTAATATACCTGGTTGACGGAGGATCCTTGATTTTTTAACAGATGTTTATTTATGAAAAACTTCCAAAAATCGTTTCTATATTCTATAAGCTCCATATTTTCAATTGGAAGGGAATTGGTTCGTCAAGCAAACCAGTGTACCTAATATTAAACAGTTAAATAATTGTGGACAATTTTTTAGACAACCCACTCGCATTTCATTTATTGGAGTATTTTATTTCATAAAAATATCTTTTATCCGTCCATCCGTT